CAAGTTATTGTAGAACGATGGTTTGTTCAGTAGACTATCGAATAGAAATATAGCCTAAAGGGGCTAATAACTCTGTCCTTAAAATGGTTCATAAAAAATTAAAAACTGCTTTTATTGTAGCCTAAATAAAACAAATAATACTTTCTCCAGAAGAAAAATATTATCAGACATACTGTGAAAATTTTCTTGCACTGTTAAACATCATTTGAAAAATATTTAAAAAAGAAAAAAAATTCAAAGGGGGGCTAATAGTTCTGACCTCAACTGTATGTTGTATACTGTAAACTCGCTAAAATTTTTTGGCCACATCCATAAAACATGTTTATTTTCCTCATTTAAAATGTAAAAAATGTTAACAGATTATTATTTTTCTGTTTCCAGAACTCTGTGTTAAGTTGTTTTGGTAAATATAAACAAATGTTTCAATGTAATGTTAAAATTTTTTCTGTGTATTTAAGTTTTAAGTTTTGACAGCAAATGTCTCATCCATAATGCTAGAATTGGACTTTTATAAAAGATAAATGTAGATATTACATCTTTCCTGATTTTTGAGTCCTACCATATAGAAAATAATACTGTACAGTGTAATACTGAGAAAGCAGAAGTAAAGTTAATAATCTGACTCTCTCATCTCCTCCAATGTTCTGCACAGAATATTTCCACCAGATTCAAGTCTGAAAACCCAAGCAAGCTAATTGAGCTGAGGAAAATCATACTCTGTCAGCACTGACTGTACTTTAATATAAGCTAAATACCTCTAAACAGCTTATACACTGATCACAGTTCTTAGTGTAACTAAATGTTAAATATTTTCTTTACGATTGTTTTCTACTGGAAACTGATTAAGTGCTTTATTTGCCTTTTTTTGTAGAAATAACTTAGACATGAATCTCTTCACTGTGATCCTGCTCTGTCTATGATGAATTATTCAATCACTAACAAAGCCACATCAAATATGTAAAGAATGTTTATTTGTGTTCTGTACATTGATGACATGTTAGAAATACATGATATTTATAAGAAATAGATCATTTTGTACAGGTTTAACTGTCTTCATGTACCAATCTCTGCTTTGCTATATGCAAATATACAATGTGCTGGTCATTAATAGTAGACCTGTTGTCTAACTGGTCTAAATCCTCCACATCTGTCTTCTTTAGACTGGCTGATGTGTGTCGTCGATGCTCTGGTTTCAGCTGGCGCTGCATTTTCAGCTCCTCCAGCATCCACACAGAGTCTCACAGACGCAGCAGAGGAAGCTCAGGATCAGGAAGCTGTTCTCTGCAGTTCCTCTGCTACATCTGCTCACCTTCTACAAATCATTGAAAGCATTTATCTACACTGACTCTAACAATGCAAAGCCACGACTGCTGGCATTCAAATAAGTGTAATGCCACTGGCCACCTGTTCACTGCAACCAGGGGTGGCGCTCAATGTCATCTAAACTGGGCCGATCTGCTGGCGCTGCACTGAGACACCAGCGAATCAGCTGACGGCACTCTGTTCCACACAACACAGCCTTCAGAACCACAAAAGCACAAACTTCTGCTCGCTCACCACATCATCTTCATCTCTTACCTGTCGACAGCTTCCTCGGGAAGTGCAGTCTGCTTTTGGACGTGACCCTCTGTGCGCCTCTGAATGGGAAACAGTCGCACAGGATGTTGTAGAGAGTCACGCCGATGGACCAGACTGTCAGTGGAGAGGCATGATAGCGATGATGCCGAAACCACTCAGGAGGAGCAAAAGCTGGAGTGCCTGAGAGACACAAGAAGAGCACAAACACACACTCTAAAGGCTCCAGTACACACAAACTCCCTTTGGAGAATCACAGCAAGTTCACAAACATCCTCAGAGCGTTTCCTTCAGTCACACAAACCAACCTGCAAAGTATCTGTAGGCCGAGTCCTTCATCAGATCTCCACAGCCGAAGTCCAGCAGCTTGATGTCGTGTGAGTCTGTGGAGATCAGCAGGTTCTCTGGCTTGACGTCTCGGTGCAGGACGCGGCGGCTCTCGCAGTGTTTCAGCGCCGCGATCAGCTGCACCAGCACTTTCTTGGCCAGAGGCTCGTCCAGACAGCCGTTCTCCTCACAGAAACTCTGGAGATCTTGGCAAGGAGCCGGACGCTCCAGGATCAGGACGTAGCGTCTGCGATGGTCAAACCAGTCCAGCAGCTGCAGGACACTGGGGCAGACAGGAGCTGAAGAGACGCGGGTCATCAACGCCACCTCCAGTGGCAGACGACCCTGACCGTCCTGCAGGACAAATGCTTCGTTACATCCAGGACTGAATCAAACACAACAGATTCACGCTCAACTTACAACTTTCAGTCTGGTGTCCGTCGGCTCTTTAGACACGTACTTGATGGCCACCTGTAGACAGATAAAGCACAGTAAATCAGCCCTGCCTGATCGGGACACGGGACATTTACTGTCATCAACATTTCTAAAGCCTGTCTGAATGAAGGAGTGAAGGAAAAGTCTTACTGGCAGTCCATCAGACCTGCGGATCCCAGCAAACACAGAGCCGAATCTGCCTCGTCCCAGCAACGGGCCCTTGGCATATTGGTCTGCAACACAGAAGAGCAGCAGAAATGTGTTGAAGAGAAAACATGAGTTGAGTCTCTTTAATGACCAATCATTTCACAACTGAGTCTCCACTATAAGCCTGTGCTGACCTCTGCGAGAGCGTTTGGCAGGTCTCCTAGACGAGGTGGACGCCGTTTGCTGCTTCCTCTTCCTCTGATCTGTGGACACTGAATCGGCCAACAGGGAGGACAGAGGAGCCAAATAACCAGGAAGCCCACCAGAAGCGTCCCGTGTCTCTGTGTCCTGAACTGCTGTCTGGGTGAAAGCTGCACTCCTGGATCTGGAGCGGCCTGAGGATGAAATATCACAGACAGCAAACACTGATTATTGATTATTAATAAAACATCACTCACTGTCAGTGGTCACACTGCATTATTACAATCATTACAACTGATTCAAGGAATAAAATACTTTCTCAATAAGTCTGTTTGTTTCTTTATTAAATAAAACATCATTTATTAGTTAGAGGGGGATATTTTAAGATTATATGGCTTGATTTACACAATCTTCTTCATATTCATTTATTAAAACACAGTAAAACACAACATAAACATAGCAATAATAAACAAATGTCAAATGAAGAACACTCACTTCCTCTTTCAGCCATTTGCGCCATGAAGACCGTCCTGCAAAACTCCACCACAAGAGAAAATACAAACAAGAGAAAATATAATGACAAATCAATAAAAGACAACTGAAATGTCAAACAAACAAGTAGAAAAAAAGGCACAAACTAAAACAGAAATGACAAAAGAGCAATAAAATAAGCGTCTTAACAAGTAATCTGAACGATTAAAATAATTATATATTCTTTTCAAAGAAAAAATCCTCCGATGTCGTCCTGGAAAGAAAGTCTCCTCTCAGAAATCCTCAGGGCTTCTTGAAGAATCAGTTTCAGCACAAAAGTCTCTGCAAGTCTCTGAATTCGCCTCGTCTCTCAACCAAGATTTTCAGCGCTTTCAGTGTTTATATATCGAGTCATATAATAACACGCGTTACTATAGCAACTCAAATTTGAAAAATCACGCATGTGGAAATTCAATAATTAATTAAATAATTAAATAATGAATAAAATAATCAACAGACATTTTATACATTTATTAGAATTATCCTTTAACCAGCCAAACACAATGATTTTCCTTTTGAGGAATATTATTTATTCCTAATTAATATTTATTAAAAAGTGGGACCTAATTGCTCAATGCATGCTCAATCTATCCCAGATATGGCTCAACAATGTCAACTAATTGACGCGAAAAAGACGTAATTACTTTGATAATTAAAAACGTCGCTCATTTATACTCATTTGTACATTTACTGAAGCGATTTAGAAGAATATCTGAAACCGAATTTTACGAAGTTAACGAGCCAGCTTTTATTTATTTACATTTATATATTTATTTATTTACCTATGATAATAATGATTATTATTATTTTTGTTGTTGTTGTTGTTATTATTATTAATATAATATTTTGCTAAAAATATATAATTTCAGTATTGGATTACTTGCGATAATCATATTAAATTATTATTATTATTGTTAATTTCTTATGCCTCTTCAGAATGAAACAGACATTACAGATAAGTGGGGATAATTAAATGTGATAATAATAATAAAATGTGTGTGTGTGTGTGTGTGTGTGTGTGTGTGTGTGTGTGTGTGTGTGTGTGTGTGTGTGTGTGTGTGTGAGTGTACATACAATATATAATGAATAAATGTCCTTTTTATACATTCACTTTAGCCAGTGTTGTATGCAATTATGTATTAGTATTATTCATACTTAATTATGATTATTGATAATAATGTATTGTTTTCTGCTACATTATTGAATTTCTACTTTTATAATAATGTGTGATTCATTATTTTTTATAAACTGTTTTTGTTAACTGTTATAAAACTGTCAGAAAAAAAGATGACTCCGGCACTACTTTTGATAAAGAAGACACATTTATTGATAACATCTCTCTTTATAGTATAAAATATACATTACAAGTTTAAGCTTGCTAACTTATAGATAACTGGAGTTTTTCTACACTATAAAATTAAAATCAGTTAATAAATATAAGCGTCATTGTATTTTATATCCGATAAAACTGCAGCTTCTCTGTTCAGTTGCGTCTCTTTATAGCGCACTGATGACCGGATTAAGATGGCGGCCGCGTTTGACGTATCGGAGCAATGGACCGAAGAGGACCATGAGGCGTCTAGCTATCTACTATATAATGTCTAAAACTAACACCTTCTTTTTTTATCAAATTATTTCCTGAGAGTTAAATCTTCTTTTGGGTGATTAACTACTAATCGCAATAATTACATGAAAAATAGAAAAAAATATTTATTGATTCCTTGTGTTTCGGCGCTACGTCATCCACATGAGTGTTTTTTCAAATTTGAGTTGCTATAGTAACTCGTGTTATTATATGACTCGATATATAAACACTGAAAGCGCTGAAAATCTTGGTTGAGAGAGGAGGCGAATTCAGAGACTTGCAGAGACTTTTGTGCTGAAACTGATTCTTCAAGAAGCCCTGAGGATTTCTGAGAGACATCGGAGGATATTTTCTTCGAAAAGAATATATAATTATTTTAATCGTTCAGATTACTTGTTAAGACGCTTATTTTATTGCTCTTTTGTCATTTCTGTTTTAGTTTGTGCCTTTTTTCTACTTGTTTGTTTGACATTTCAGTTGTCTTTTATTGATTTGTCATTATATTTTCTCTTGTTTGTATTTTCTCTTGTGGTGGAGTTTTGCAGGACGGTCTTCATGGCGCAAATGGCTGAAAGAGGAAGTGAGTGTTCTTCATTTGACATTTGTTTATTATTGCTATGTTTATGTTGTGTTTTACTGTGTTTTAATAAATGAATATGAAGAAGATTGTGTAAATCAAGCCATATAATCTTAAAATATCCCCCTCTAACTAATAAATGATGTTTTATTTAATGAAGAAACAGACTTATTGAGAAAGTATTTTATTCCTTGAATCAGTTGTAATGATTGTAATAATGCAGTGTGACCACTGACAGTGAGTGATGTTTTATTAATAATCAATAATCAGTGTTTGCTGTCTGTGATATTTCATCCTCAGGCCGCTCCAGATCCAGGAGTGCAGCTTTCACCCAGACAGCAGTTCAGGACACAGAGACACGGGACGCTTCTGGTGGGCTTCATGGTTATTTGGCTCCTCTGTCCTCTCTTTTGGCCGATTCAGTGTCCACAGATCAGAGGAAGAGGAAGAGGAAGCAGCAAACGGCGTCCACCTCGTCTAGGAGACCTGCCAAACGCTCTCGCAGAGGTCAGCACAGGCTTATAGTGGAGACTCAGTTGTGAAATGATTGGTCATTAAAGAGACTCAACTCATGTTTTCTCTTCAACACATTTCTGCTGCTCTTCTGTGTTGCAGACCAATATGCCAAGGGCCCGTTGCTGGGACGAGGCGGATTCGGCTCTGTGTTTGCTGGGATCCGCAGGTCTGATGGACTGCCAGTAAGACTTTTCCTTCACTCCTTCATTCAGACAGGCTTTAGAAATGTTGATGTCAGTAAATGTCCCGTGTCCCGATCAGGCAGGGCTTATTTACTGTGCTTTATCTGTCTACAGGTGGCCATCAAGTACGTGTCTAAAGAGCCGACGGACACCAGACTGAAAGTTGTAAGTTGAGCGTGAATCTGTTGTGTTTGATTCAGTCCTGGATGTAACGAAGCATTTGTCCTGCAGGACGGTCAGGGTCGTCTGCCACTGGAGGTGGCGTTAATGACCCGCGTCTCTTCAGCTCCTGTCTGCCCCAGTGTCCTGCAGCTGCTGGACTGGTTTGACCATCGCAGACGCTACGTCCTGATCCTGGAGCGTCCGGCTCCTTGCCAAGATCTCCAGAGTTTCTGTGAGGAGAACGGCTGTCTGGACGAGCCTCTGGCCAAGAAAGTGCTGGTGCAGCTGATTGCGGCGCTGAAACACTGCGAGAGCCGCCGCGTCCTGCACCGAGACGTCAAGCCAGAAAACCTGCTGATCTCCACAGACTCACACGACATCAAGCTGCTGGACTTTGGCTGTGGAGATCTGATGAAGGACTCGGCCTACAGATACTTTGCAGGTTGGTTTGTGTGACTGAAGGAAACGCTCTGAGGATGTTTGTGAACTTGCTGTGATTCTCCAAAGGGAGTTTGTGTGTACTGGAGCCTTTAGAGTGTGTGTTTGTGCTCTTCTTGTGTCTCTCAGGCACTCCAGCTTTTGCTCCTCCTGAGTGGTTTCGGCATCATCGCTATCATGCCTCTCCACTGACAGTCTGGTCCATCGGCGTGACTCTCTACAACATCCTGTGCGACTGTTTCCCATTCAGAGGCGCACAGAGGGTCACGTCCAAAAGCAGACTGCACTTCCCGAGGAAGCTGTCGACAGGTAAGAGATGAAGATGATGTGGTGAGCGAGCAGAAGTTTGTGCTTTTGTGGTTCTGAAGGCTGTGTTGTGTGGAACAGAGTGCCGTCAGCTGATTCGCTGGTGTCTCAGTGCAGCGCCAGCAGATCGGCCCAGTTTAGATGACATTGAGCGCCACCCCTGGTTGCAGTGAACAGGTGGCCAGTGGCATTACACTTATCTGAATGCCAGCAGTCGTGACTTTGCATTGTTAGAGTCAGTGTAGATAAATGCTTTCAATGATTTGTAGAAGGTGAGCAGATGTAGCAGAGGAACTGCAGAGAACAGCTTCCTGATCCTGAGCTTCCTCTGCTGCGTCTGTGAGACTCTGCTGGAGGAGCTGAAAATGCAGCGCCAGCTAAAACCAGAGCATCGACGACACACATCAGCCAGTCTAAAGCAGACAGATGTGGAGGATTTAGACCAGTTAGACAACAGGTCTACTATTAATGACCAGCACATTGTATATTTGCATATAGCAAAGCAGAGATTGGTACATGAAGACAGTTAAACCTGTACAGAATGATCTATTTCTTATAAATATCATGTATTTATAACATTTCATCAATGTACAGAACACAAATAAACATTCTTTACATATTTGATGTGGTTTTGTTAGTGATTGAATAATTCATCACAGACAAAGCAGAATCACAGTGAAGAGATTCATGTCTAAGTTATTTCTAGAAAAAAGGCAAATAAAGCATTTACTGTATTCAGCTTTCCTATAGAAAACCTTTAGAATAACAAGATTTAGTTACAGTAAGAACTGTGATCAGATTATAAGCTATGTTTAGAGGTATTTAGCTTATATTAAAGTACAGTCAGTGCTGACAGAGTATGATTTCCCTCAGCTCAATCAGCTTGCTTGAGTTTTCACTCTTGAGTCTGGTGAGAAGAATCTGTGAAGAACATTGGAGGAGAGGAGACTTACTGTATCTTCTGCTGTCTCAGTATTACACTGTACAGTTTTAATTGTCTATTTTGTAAGACTCAAATATCAGGAAAGATGTATTATCTACATTATCCATCTGTTATAATAGAGAAATTTCAGCATTGTGGATGTGACATTTACTGTCAAAACGTGAAAACTAAAATCACAGAAAAAGCATATGTTATGCATTATCTTACATTATACTGAAACATCTGTTAATATTTTCCAAAACAACTGACCACAGAGTTATGAGATCAGAAAAAAATCAATCTGTAACCATTTTTAATATTTTAAATGAGGAAAATAATCATGCGTTATGGATGTGACCAAAAATAAGTTTGCGGGTTTACAGAAAACAACATACTTTGTAGAAATTCTGTGAATTAAACTGCACAACCCAAAAGAAACAATGTGAAACAAAATCAGAGTCGGCTCACTATAGAACATAAATGATATATATAATATATTTTATTTGATATTTTTGCATTTATGAGAAAGGTTTATTTTGAATTTGACTCCTCTCTGTTGTGGATGTGACAGATGTGAAATTGGCACTTGTGTGACTTTGGTAAATGAAAAATAATTGGTTGAAAACATTGACAGAGACATTTTTGAATATTTTACAGTACTGAAAAACACAAGCCCACACATAAAAAAAAGGTTCGACGCACCTCGCCCGCCACGCAGATCATCGTTTCTGGGCCGCTTCCTACCTACCGCCGAGGAAATGAAAGGTTCAGTAGACTTTTAGCTTTGAATGAATGGCTAATAACATGGTGTAAAGAACAGAAATTGCTCTTTGCTAATAACTGGAATCTTTTCTGGGAGCGTCCTAGGCTCTTCCGTCCTGACGGCCTGCACCCCAGTCGAGCCGGAGCTGAACTCCTGTCGGACAACATCTCCAGACTACTTCGCACCATCTGACTAGCAGGTAAAAATTCACAAAATTCACACTATAGCCACCTAGACTCTTGTTCACCCCACTTAAACATCAGTAACGCATATCTGGCGAATCCTATAGAGACTGTGTCTGTTCCTCGTATTATTAGATTAAGAAATAAACGTACTGTGTGCTCCAGGAAAAATCTAGTAAGAATCAAACCAGAAAAACCAGTAGAAAGTGAAAATACAAATTTCGTAAAACTTGGTCTCCTAAACATCAGGTCACTTGCACCTAAAGCACTTATCATTAATGAAATAATAACAGAAAACAATCTTAATGCACTCTGTCTCACTGAAACCTGGCTGAAACAAAATGACTATATTAGCTTAAATGAAGCAACTCCTCCAGGATTCTTATATAAACATGAGGCTCGTCAAACTGGTCGTGGTGGTGGAGTTGCATCAATCTTTAGTGATTTCCTTAATATTAAACAGAGAAACGGACTTATGTTTAGCTCCTTTGAAGTATTATCGCTTAATGTTCAGCTTCCAGATACCATACAAAAACCTATGTTATCTCTCGCTTTAATCACCATATATAGACCCCCAGGACCCTATGTCAAATTTCTAAAAGAATTTTCTGATTTTATTTCTGACTTACTAGTCAAAACTGATAAAATGCTAATTGTAGGTGACTTTAACATCCACATAGATGACGCTAATGATACATTAGGGCTCGCGTTTATGGATTTAATACACTCACTTGGGATAAAGCAAAACGTTGTGGGTCCAACCCATCGCTTAAAGCATACATTAGATCTAATTCTGTCTTATGGAATCGAGGTTATTGACGTAGACATTATACCACAAAGTGATGATATTACAGATCACTACCTCTTACTATATAAGCTATGTTTACCTGAAATCAGCAAACCCGCTCCAATACTCCGCCCTAGTAGAACTATTGTTCCGTCAACTAAAGATGAATTTATAAATAACTTACCTGATCTCTCTCTATTTCGTAATGCACCCGCAAACTCAAATGATCTTGATGTAGTAACCAGCAGTATGGATGCCATCTTTACTAGCACACTAAATACTGTGGCACCCATCAAATTAAAAAAGGCTAGAGAGATTAAAACTATACCATGGTACAATAGTCATACTCGTGCGCTCAAAACAGCAACCCGCGCCCTGGAACGTAAATGGAAAAAAAGTAATTTAGAGGTCTTTAGAATTGCGTACAAAGACAGTATGTCCAGCTATAGGAGGGCTCTAAAATCTGCCAGGACCGAGCACCTGCGCAAACTGATAGAAAATAATCATAACAATCCTAGATTTTTATTTAACACCATCTCTAAATTAGCAAATAATCAGTCATCCTTGGAACAAACTACTCCACCGCAAATTAGTAGTGATGATTTCATGAATTTTTTCAGTAATAAAATAGAAGGCTTTAGACAGAAAATAGGAGATGCCAAACTTTCTGCACCGGCTTATACTCCAAATCCTGTAAATATTTCATTAAATCATAATAATAACCTACACTGCTTCAAAATCATAGAACATGAAGAGTTAGTAAAAATTATAAATAGCTCTAAACCAGCTACGTGTATGCTGGACTCAATTCCAACAAAATTACTGAAAGAGCTGCTACCTGCTATAGGAGAACCTCTTCTTAACATTATCAACTCTTCTTTATCTATAGGCCATGTTCCAAACTCTTACAAGCTAGCTGTTATTAAGCCTATTATTAAGAAACCGCAACTAGACACCAACAACTTAGCTAACTATAGGCCTATTTCTAATCTTCCATTTATGTCTAAAATACTAGAAAAAGTTGTTTCCACTCAATTATGCTCTTATCTGCAGACGAACAATATTTTTGAAGTGTTTCAGTCAGGTTTCAGGGCTCACCACAGTACAGAAACCGCCTTAGTGAAAATAACCAATGATTTACTCTTAGCTGCTGACCGAGGGTGCGTCTCGCTATTAGTTTTACTCGATCTTAGTGCGGCATTTGATACCATTGACCACAATATACTCATAAATCGCTTAAAGTCTACAGGTGTCCAGGGACAGGCTCTACAATGGTTTAAGTCATACTTAACTGACCGCTACCAGTTTGTGAATCTTAATGGACAGCCTTCACAAATCTGCCCAGTAAAGTATGGGGTGCCTCAAGGATCAGTTTTAGGCCCTTTACTGTTTACAATTTACATGCTACCTCTGGGAGACATTATTAGAAGACATGGGATCAGCTTTCACTGCTATGCAGATGATACTCAATTATATATTTCCACTAAACCTGACGAGACGTCTGAACTTTCTAAACTAACTGAGTGTATCAAAGACATCAAAGACTGGATGACCAACAATTTTCTTCTCTTAAACTCAGACAAAACAGAATTATTACTTATTGGGCCTAAATCTTGCACACAGCAGATCTCGCAACTCAATTTACAATTAGAGGGATACAAAGTTAGCTTTAGCTCTACTATAAAAGATTTGGGTGTCATATTAGACAGCAATCTAACTTTTAAAAACCATATATCCCATGTCACAAAAACTGCCTTCTTTCATCTGAGAAATATCGCTAAATTACGAAATATGCTATCCATCTCAGATGCAGAAAAGCTAGTCCATGCTTTTATGACTTCGAGACTGGATTACTGTAATGCTCTATTTGCTGGCTGCCCAGCATCCTCTATTAACAAACTTCAATTAGTACAAAATGCAGCAGCCAGAGTTCTGACCAGGTCTAGAAAATATGATCATATAACCCCAATTTTATCCTCCTTACACTGGCTGCCTGTTAAATTTCGTATTGAATTTAAAATATCACTTCTCACCTATAAAGCTCTAAATAATCTAGCTCCTGTTTATCTAACCAACCTTCTGTCTCGCTACGAACCAACTCGTTCCTTAAGATCTCAAAATTCAGGGCTTCTGGTAGTACCTAGAATAGCAAAATCAAGTAAAGGAGGTCGAGCCTTCTCTTTCATGGCTCCTACACTCTGGAATAGCCTTCCTTGTAATGTCCGAGGCTCAGACACACTCTCCCAGTTCAAAACTAGATTAAAGACCTATCTGTTTAGTAAAGCATACACTCAATGCATCACCTAGCGGGTTCCACACAGGCTTCTGCATCTTGCTTATATACACTATGAACAGCAGCTACGCTAATTATTCTCTTTATTCTCTATTTTCACCTGGGGATACTCATCCCGAGGTCCTCAGATTAGGCGGAGTCACTGATTGGATCCAAGACCAGCGACGTGATGATCCCAAGGATTCCATATCCGGGACCAGGCCATATCCTGAGCTGCTGCTGCGCTGATGGTCGTGGGGAGTGGAGAACATGTGTCTGATTCCAGCGACGCTCCAGGGACAGACGAGTCTTCATTGAGGCCATCTTCCAGCATAAACCACGGCGAATGAAGTTCTGCACAAGACTTTTGGCCAGCGGAGAAATTAAAATGGTCGTGCCCAACTGAGTCTGGTTCTCTCAAGGTTTTTTTTCTTCACTCCCATCAGGTGAAGTTTTTTTTCCCTCTCCGCTGTCGCCACTGCCTCGCATGGTTCAGGATTGGTAGAGCTGCGCATCGATTAATTTGCTCTTCAGTGTTTGAACTCTCAGTAATGATTAAATCACACTGAACTGAGCTAAACTGAACTGAACTGAACTTAAACACTGAAACCTGAACCACACTGTTCCAGTTACTATGACCATTTATGTGAAGCTGCTTTGACACAATCTACATTGTAAAAGCGCTATACAAATAAAGCTGAATTGAATTGAATTGAATTGAAAAAAAAACCTACAAAGAGTTTTGCTATTCTGGAGAAAACTTTTTCAGGTTGACATTTGCATGGATTTGCTCAAAACTTGGTTGCTTCAGGTGATACTTTTCCTTTCATGTTTCTTGATTTGTATAGTTTTCTTCGTTGTGATGAACGGCCTCTTACCGTTTAACAATCCAAACACCAGGCTGAAGGTGGAACTCACTGGTTCTTGGAGAAAAAGAGATTTTGTCTGATGAATCTTTATATAGTGTCGCATCTTTACTGTTTCTGTCTAAAATATTTGGTGTTCTCCAAACCGAGACTCATGACCTCAGGCTTGAAGTTGCTGACTCTTTGGTTCTTGTTGTTATTTGTTATTAAGTGTGGTTTAGTTTATTAAGGACACCAGTTTAACTAGTCATAACAAGTCTCAAACCACAAGTTTATTGCAAAATACATAAATCACAGAATCTTTCATATGCAGATTCCTGCTGTTTGATCTGAAGTGTGTCTGTGTTGATCTGCAGGTTCTCCAGCTTTATGTCTCGATGAAACACTCCACAATAGCAGCACAGATTGAGGGACACTGTTTCCTGCATCATGATTGATCTGTGTTGCGTCCTCATGGATGGAGCCTCAGTGAGACATCGTGAAATCAACAGGTCTTGTCATGGTGAGGGACTATTTCAGGATCATGATGTACAGGTCAGGCTGCTCCGGTCAGTCCAGTAGCTGAATGATCTCTAGATCTCTGAGCAGGATTAACAGACAAACCGCCAATGGAATGGTACCAGGATTGAAGTGTAATGAAGTGGCTGACACAGAGGGATCCATTTGCAGTATTTTTATTAAACACAGTTGAATAACAAATAGCACACAGATGTTGTGCATGTGTGTGTGTCACATCAAACACAGTAGTATATCTTAGTTGGGCTGGTGGCAGGCAAACACAGGATGACTAAGCAGGCATTGGTCAGAGGCAGGCGGCTAGTATCAGAGTTGGCAAACAGGCTAGAGTTCAAGGCAGGCGGCGAGGATCAGAGTCGAGGTTCAGGCAAAGGTACAAAGCAGGCGGCAGGCAGGACTGGGTCAATAATCAAAGCAAGGTCACATCGGGAAAGCAGGCAAGGATGAGAAACGCTCAGTAGTGTTAGCCGGGGCAGAACAAGACTTCGCAATGAGTGAGTGTGAGAGTGCTGCTTATATGTGTGAGTGTGTCAGTGTCAACTGGATGAGCTGCAGGTGTGCATGCTATCAGTGTAAGTGGATGACGAAATGTTTAGAAGTCTGGTGATGATGACCTCTGCTGGCCAGCGAGGGGAATGACTGGGACCGAGTCAGTGACAAGAAGATCAGTGTTGAACTGAGGTGCTTTCGGAAGAATATTTGTCAGTTTATTTGACTGTTTAAAAACAGAAAAATGTTGGAAAAATGTGTGAAACAATTAAACAAAACATTTTACAATTACTTTGCCAATATGTCATGTGCAATAAATAATGAATAATAATAATAATATATAGATTAAAAGTAGGCCCACACGGAATCTGCGCGCGCAGAATTCCACAGTTTTTCCACAGATTTTCCGCAGAATTCCGCAGATTTCTGGATATTTTTAGCCCATTATTAATTCTATTAATTTACTTGAGTAAATGTGTAAATATTAATGTATTCAGTTTTTATTCAGTAATTTATTACTTTTTATTTAATATATTAAGGTTTTAGTTATGATACTCCGCTGGATACTCCCAAAATAATTCTGCAGAAATCCGCAGATTTTTACCAAAATTCTCAGCAGAAATAGCAAAAAACGTCCGCAGATTCCGTCTGGCCCTGAAAAAAAGCAATAGATGTAGTGAGACAACAGATAGACACAGATAAAGTAGAAGTTCAGCTCATTAGTCAAAATACTATGTAAGTGTATTTGATGTATTTGTGCTGGAGTTTATTCAAGACTTTCTGAAACGATGAGTCACACACAAATGGCCTTACAATGTTTGCAGTACACACACACACACACACACACACGTTTACTGACACCATATGGCTGTGGTGATTCTAGCGGTGAAGAATTACATCCATTTTCAGTCTTTATTTCAAACATGCTCTGCTTTAACAACATTTAAGTTTGTGAAACTAATCACAGAGAGTTGAACAGGTCTTTTAATCCCAGTTTCTTTTAAAAAAATGTTCTGAGTACACGTGTGTGTGTGTGTGTGTGTGTGTGTGTGTGTGTGTGTGTGTGTGTGTCTGTGTCTGTGTGTGTGTCTGTGTGTGTGTGTACTGTATATATCAGGGGTGGCCAACCCTGTTCCTGGAGAGACACCTTCCTGCAGATTTTAGTTGCAACCCATATCAAACACACCTGCCTGTAATTATCATGTGGCGTTCAGGTCCTAATTAATTGGTTCAGGTGTGTTTGATATGGGTAGTAAGTGAAATCTGCAGGAAGGTGGCTCTCCAGGAACAGGGTTTGCCACCCCTGGTATATATCAATCAATTAAAAAAATGTGCTTAAACTAAGCGTTCTAAACAACGATTCTGACACAACAACGCGAAGCATACACTTGCGTTTAAGGGGGTAACACGTGAAACTTAATAAAACATTGGAGGGCACTTGCTGAAAGGCAAAGGAATGCGCTGATGTGCTGAATGACTGCTCGCAACTTCATCCGGCACTTTATGAACACCAATACTTCAATTTTAATATGATTAGGATTATAATCTATAATAAAGAGTCTACCATGTAAGCAGCAATCCACGAAAGGACCACAGAGTCACGAAATGCTGAGTTTTTTTTTTCCATTCGCCATGCGGTATCGAATTCCATTAAAACAGAAGTCGAAAGTTAAAAATGAAACACACGAAATTGCATGAAACACTGGAGGAAACGCTGGAGAGCCTGGTGATGCGACATTAATTGTTTTATACTGAAACTTGCCTTCAAAAAGTGCTTTCTTTGTCTTATCCATGTTACAGGAAATAAAAAACCTGCAACTGCGTTAATTGCGTTATATTTTTTTAATGCGTTAATTATTTCAAATTAATCGCATGCGTTAACGACTAATTTTTACAGCATTAATACATATATAAACATATGTTTTTTTTAGAATAATTGAAGATTTGAGAATGAACTTTCTGAATGATTCCACGTTTCAAACAGTCCAGACAGCAGATTATTTACTTTGTTGAATGATTCAGTTGTTTGAGTGAATCGTCTCACTCAATAGACTTCACTACCATCTACTGGAGGTTTTAGATTCTTATTTTGAGGATTATTTTTATTTAAAAAAAATAAAAAAAAAACATTTTATTTTCATATTCAAATGCAATAAAGTACAATAAATTTTATTCTTTAAAATACACAGATTGATCACACAGACAAAATAACTTTGTCATCATTTACACACATTTGTGTCGTTTAAATCAGTATGAGTTTCTTTGTATTGTAGATTATTTTTCCAAGTGTTCACTTGCTTGCTTCTTTCCACATTTAACACAATGATGTACTGAAATCTTCTATTGTGGAAATTTTGACTCAATTTTATAACATTAAACATGAAATTTCCTCAATAATTTGCATTAATTCAATTCAGGATAACCAATAACTTTTAAGTGGTCACTTATTTGTATTTTTTCTCCAGGGCTGCAAGTATTACATGTAGTATGACTAAGGGACTAAGCCGAAAAAAGAAAATGAACAAATGAATAAATCAGTGGCTATTGTTTTTAATATTGAGATTGTAACTAAAAAAAATAAATAGAAATGTTAAAATGTCTGTTTTTCTCTTACAGCCTTAAGAGGTGTCAGTGGAGCAAAATCAGCTCCTCTTTTACCAAAATCCAACATCAAACCTGCAGTCCGGAGCTCTTCCCCATCTACAGCCAGTGTTTCAGAGGAACCAGATGATCAATCCAGGTAAATCAAATCACAAATATGACCACACTTCATCCATTTTACAACTCCAAATCATAATAGAGATTAATGTGTCTGTGAAAACCAAAACATGAAGCAGTGATGGTTGAGCACATCTCACTAGCTGCTGTTTTAAATGCTGTTTTAAATTTATTGATCAATCTGACAAACATCTAACCCAAGATTAGATTTACTTTGTACCTCAGTTTGGTAGAAGGTTGAATGAAGTTCCCCACCAGCCTTACAGAAAATTTGGACAGTTAGAGATGAAAATGAAGCTGATATTCTTTCTTCTAGAAATTGTTAATTATCTATTATTAAGGAATTGGGTAACACTATATTTTGATGGTCCATTTAAGTATTAGTAGACTGTCTGCTTAATATCTGTTGAAAATATAGTTAGCTTGTAAGCTCCTTCAACAGACATTTAACTGACTACAAGAAATTTTGCAAGTACATGTCAATTTACACTAACCCTAACCCAAACCTAACAGTCTACTTATAATCTAATGAGAAAACTCAAATGAACCATCAAAATAAAGTGTTACCTCTTCTTCTTCTCCTTCTTCCTATAGAACCTGTTGCTTTTAACATAGTTGGAGATGTTGTAAGCAGGGGCGTAGTAACTGGGGGGGACAGGGGGGATACACCCCCCTCACTTTTAGAGACAGACCATTTAGAAACAGGTGATTTAAAAATTGAAACTTTTGGATTTCACACAGTTGTCCCCCCACCCCACTTTTAAAATGTCCACTACGCCCCTGGTTGTAAGAAAGTAATAATGTAAAGGGTTAAATAGTCTGTTTGTAGTAAACATGGTTTTGGATAATGATAGAATAGTTTGTGCAGACACACTGAGGTTTATCCAGTGTATAGAAGTCTGAATCATCAACATTATTTCATATGCTTCTAAAAACACGTTTCCCAAAACACATTACTATAAATTGATTGTTCAACTCTTTACATTATTACTTTCTTACAACATCGTCCTATAGAACTTGTTGCTTTTAGCATAGTTGGAGATGTTGTAAGAAATTAATAACGTAAAGGGTTGAGCAGTCTATTTGTTTAGCAAACGCTGGACATTCGTGTAGTAAACATGTTTTTGGAAGCGTGTGAAATAATGAGGATGATTCAGACTTCTGTACACTGAATAAACCTCAGTGTGTCTGCACAAACTACACTATCAGTATTGACTTTGAAGAAATACCACTGAATATTTTGTTTGGGAAGCGCAATTGTCATGAGGGGAATGAATACTTAATGACCTTAAAACTGGGTGCTCTTATTATTATTGTATTGGATGTCACATTCTCGTGTTACAATGTTTGTATTTTAAAACATTTCTAAAACAGTTCTGATTTCACAGTAAAACTTTAGAATTTTATATGGATGATTTGCTGATGTTGCAGTGACTGATATGTTTAGACTTTGGGTCAGGTAAAGGGCAGCGCTGGACTGTATTCTTCAAAAGTGTATTTCTAAAAGTGCGCCCTAATGACGCCAGTGGCAACTGCAGTGTGCGTTATAAATGACTGGATGCTGTTCAAACCTCATGCCAGATTTTTGTCACTGGGACTGGATCGCAATACATCACAAGTGAGTTCAAAAATATATATTTTTATTACAGACATACACAAAAACAACTGTAACAATAAAGAAGTGAATAATACAATAACAAGACACTATATTTAAACAGCAAAGGTGTCAACGGGCTACTCCAGCATGAACCAGTCATGGTAAGGCATCTGTCCTAGAAGAATTCTGTGCTCTGGAATCTGCTGCAGACAAGCCCACATCAGATCACAGCATTCTGTGAAAAACAAAAGGAGAGGTGAGATTATTATTATTATTATTAAACTGACTTTTAACTTGTTCTTTGATGATCATCTCACCTTGAGAGAGGGTAAATCTGGACCAGTCATGCTCCAGGTAGTACAGGTCATACGTCGTTGGGAAATCTCCATGCAGCATTGTAAAGAGAAGAACCCCAAGAGAATAGACAGTTGCTGGTTTGGCATGGTAACATCCTCTTTGGTAAAACTCTGGCGGCATGTACGCTTCTGTGCCTGGAGGAGAGACATTTAGTTAAATCTGTGTCAGCATCATGTTGATATATATACCAGATGGGTTTCAGGTGTGCTAATTACTGAGCTTTTAAACCGTATATTAATAATGCTTATGTACATTCATAACTAGTGTTGTCAAAAGTATCGATACTGACACTCATCACAGTCATATTTGCTGAGCGTGTAAACACCAATGGCCAATCAGTAATGTTTAACAGGTTCAAATGGACGTTTTTAAAATGTCAGTCCCAAAGTTGATACATTTGACAAACCTATTCACAACACCTACCGGAAAAGGTGGAGTATGCTGATTCCATCATGTAATCTCCGCAGCCGAAGTCCACAGTGTTTGGGTTCACAAGCAGGTTTTGCAGCTTAATGTCCCTGTGGAATACTCCTCGGTAGCAGCAAACATTGGCAGCGTAAACAGCTTGGCCCATGATAGTTTGTGCCGTTTGCTCGCTGAGGACGCCTCCGTTGAGTTGCAGGAATGCCTCCAGATCCATACTTGGCGTAGGCCGCTCCATGACCATGACATAATGGTCTTTGAAGACCTGCCAGTCTAGGAGCTGAATTATATTGGCACACCTGGAGCCACTGCTGGCCATACTTGCCAAGGTGATCTCTAGAGGTGGCTGGTCATGAGACTGAAAACAAAATAATAATGTTGGATTTCAAACAAGGGTTTTTAACCACAGCCTGTTGTCCTCTATTAAATATAAGACATTATGAGTTGAACACAGTGACTGAGAAGAGAAAAACAGAAAGTGTAGTGTACTTACAGAGCAGAGATCTTGCATACGTGGTGTCATCTGGGCAAATTTAACAGCCACCTGTTGAAAGAAATAAGTGAACAATTAACATGTGCATCGAGATCATTTTATTCAAATCCTGAACAGAGGTTTCATCAATTTGAATTCTCAGAAATGTCAAAACAATGAAAGCATGTTTCTGATGATGTTCTTTAAAGAGCCCATATTATACATGAAATAGGGTCATATCTTGGTTGTAAGGGTCTCCAACAACAGTCTAATATGCATGCAAGGTCAAAAAACACTTTCATGGTCTTATAATATGCATTTATTTTTACCTAATTATCCCAGCAACTCCTGTATGAATCATCCAGTGATTCATTTGTTCCCAAACCCCTCCTTAGCGCGAAGCTAATCTGCGCTGATTGGACCGATGACAGCCTGTCGCGATTGGTCGACTGCCTTCAGTCAGAGAGTGAAATTACCAATAGCTAATCAGCAATATAAAAAGTAATCACAGTTCATACACGCTCGCTAGTGTAGGCGTGGATTTTAGCTGCCACACACACACAAAAACACACACACACACACCTCCGGACGACAATGCTCACGCTTCCGCCCGCACCCGCCAGGTTTTAGCCTGAGAACCCGCCCCGTTTTCTGCCTGCCGCGAACGATCCCACTAAAGAGCGGGGAGAACACAACCAAAAATCACCCAGCTATACAGTCCAGACAGCCAAGCTGTCTGTATAAACACACACACAGCACCAAGCACACAAAGCTCTCGCTCGCTCGCTCGCTCTCTCTCTTAAACGCGCGCACTAACACACATACACACAAGCACCAAGCAGACACATCTTTCTCATTCGCATAGCAATATCCGTGATATTCTTAGACAGCCCACTCCCGTCCCAAATTAAACCCGTTACCGACCGCTCCCGCGATTTATTCGGAAATTTATTCCCGCGCCGCAGAAATCTGGCGCGGGGACAGCCGCGGGTATGCAGACCTCTACCACGGAGCTCCCTAAACAAAGCAGCATGTGTTGCGTTTTTAACGTGACTTTGCACGCGATAAGAGAATATAGCAAGTTAACCTGATACAGTACACTCGGTTACAAGTAACAAATCACAACTAAATACATTTGCAAGCTAGAGTCAACGAGGCAACAACTTTAATCGCACGTACTTACACTTGAGAAATGGAAGAAACTCATCCTGACGTCCATCAGTAAGTTACTCTTTAATGATCCTTCCTTTAACAAACGCAGATGAAGTATTCTTTGTAGCATGTAGCTTCCAGAAGTTTCCAGTAGTTTCCAACTGCTTGGTTATAATGCTGATGTTTCATCTTTGGGTAGAGACTCGATATAATATCCATCTGCAGTGTGACTTCAATCGACCGGCATGTTTGTGTGCGTGTGTTTGTGGGTGTATGTGTGTCTGGGTTTCTGCGTCAGAGGGCGGGGCCTCAGGTTTGAAATCTCCCGGGTTTGCGCGTGCACTCGAATAACTTGGTTTCGTTCGTACGTCATGGCGAAACACCTAATGACTCGGTATCAAGGCGACTCGTTTTAAGCACTATGAGTCGACTCTTTTATAGATGAATCAACCGTTTTAAACACTGTATTCTTACAGATTTAAGCCTTAGCTGGATACGTCACTTCACTTAGAGCTGTGTTACACACTACATGGAGGGGAATTTTCAAAAACCCATAATATGGGCTCTTTAAATAGTGAACTTCATCAAAGGATTTGAGTCCACAAAAATGAATACCTGCAGATCATCCTGTATGCGGATCCCCTCAAAAACAGAGCCGAAACCTCCTTCACCGAGCTGCTTTCCCAGATTGTAGCGGGAGCTGATGTCATCTGTTAAAAAAGAAGAAAATTAAGCTGACTGGACATAAAATCTTATTAAATTATAAACCACAGAGTTTACAACAAATAAGACTTTCTCCATAAGAAAAAAGATTATAGGAAATGATGGAAGTGAAAACTTCTTTACTCTGTTAAACATCATTTGGGAAACATTTAAAAAATGAAAAAATAAAATAAAATCATGAACGGCGAATAATTTTGACTTTAACTGTATAATTTTAAAATGTTTGATATGCCTAAACAAATGTTATGAATTCCAGCAATAAACTTACTATTGTCCAAACAGGTCTCATCATCTGCTGTAAGACTCAGTGCAGAATCATCAGCGGAGTCATCTTGTGAAACCTTCTGATTCAGTGAAGGCTCCGAGTCTTCATCCAGTGCAGAGTCAATGTCAACCTGCACAGAGTCTCCGCTGAACATTTCAAAGATGCCATCTGATGAGAACTGCTGGCTCACTGGAGGTTTAAAGCTGTTCACTTCAGATTTCACAGTGTCAAAATCTTCTTCTGCTGAAGCATCAGGAATTGAAGGTTGGAGAACCTCCAGCTCCAGATTGTTCACAGCAGTGTGAAAGAATTTCGAGCTACTGATCGGCTCGTCCTGAAGGTCGTGGATCTCCAGCACAGGGAGCGGATCTAAAGAGGGGAAGGAATATCATTAATATGATTCTGTAACTCTTTTGACTAGATATTTGAAAAGTTCATTTGCAAAAACACTACTCAATGTATTTAATAATTATTCATGATCTTCATGGTTTATGTGCATTGAAGTGATAATTAGCAATAAAAAATTATGTTTAAACTATATATCTAAAGGCATAAATACAATTAATTATGAATTTCATTTGTTAAACACAAAAATAGGCCTATTCTGAAGAATATTCCTGAAATCAGCAGCCATTAACCTTCATTGTAGGAACTCAAAATACTGGAAGTGAATGGCTGATTTCAGTATGTGTCCAACACAAGAACGCATCTCAAACAGGTTTGAGGAGTAAATTATGACAGAATTTTCACGTTTATGTGAACTGTCCCTTTAAGAAACTACCTAAAATTCTCAAATGTTTCCAGTTAATTTTATTTCTTATCTTTAAACAGCTACTCTGACATGTTTGGTGTGTTTAACAGTGTGTTTTAGTAATTAAAATTCATAAACCTAATTTACCATCAACAGTTGCTCTTCTGGAGAAACAGGCTAGGAAGAAGGAAGACTTATTCTGTCTCCCTGCCTGTTTTCTTGCAACGACGGGCGGGTCATCGGTTATCGGATGATGGTGGTGTTCTGCCGTGTTGCCGGTGGATTTGAGTGGCTCACGGGGTGGTTCGTGTGCACACTTGATACCAAACGCTTTCTTTAAACGGGAAATCAACTTTGAAAAGGCCATTTTATCACCGTTTTTTGGAATCGCAGTAACTTTAAATAACTTTAACAACTAGTGCAGGACTGCGCTAGACTGACTGGCTAATTCGCCTTAAAGTGCTCAAACATCCACGTTATACAGACACACACACACACACACACAGTTATATATATATATATATATATATATATATATATATATATATATATATATATAGGCCTATATAAATATATATAAATATACAGTTGAAGTCAGAATTATTAGCCCCCCTTTTAATTCGTTCATTCATTTTCTTTTCGACTTAGTCCCATTATTATTCAGTAGAATGAACCGCCAACTTATCCAGCATATGTTTTACACAGCAGATGCCCTTCCAGCTGCAACTCATCTATGGAAAACCTTTTAATTTTCACTATTAAATATTTCCAAAATTATTATTAAAGAGAGCAATGAAATTTTCACTGTGTGTCTGATCATAGTTTTTTGGAGTTTTATTATTTATAGTATAATATAAATATTACTTATTATTAAGTCTTATTTGTTTTGGCTAGAATAAAAGCAGTTTTTAATTTTTAAAACCACTTTAAGGTCAGTATTATTAGCCCATTTAAGCATTTTTTTAAGCAAAAAAAAAAATGTAATGGTTTGCAGAACAAACCATCGTTATACAAAAACTTGCTCAATTACATTAACCTGCCTAGTTACCCTAATTAACCTAGTTAAGCCTTTAAATGTCACTTGAAGCTGTATAGAAGTGTCTTGAAAAGTATCTAGTCAAATATTATTTACTGTCATCATGGCAAAGATGAAATAAATCAGTTGTTAAGAATGAGTTTTTAAAACAATTATGTTAAGAAATGTGTTGAAAAAAATCTTCCCTCCGTTAAACAGAAATGTGGGGTGGGGGGATTTAACTTTATTTTTATTATTATTATGTAGTTTTTTTTAAATAACACTTTACTAATAATTTACTATTTATTTAGTATAACCCATACTACAAAACTATTTATTTAAAATATTAAACAAAAAAAGTGTCTCTTGAAAACAACTGATCCCACACATTGTTCCCCACAGTTACATACAGTTTACTTGATTATGATAGGTCCTATAAAAAAGCACCAAATAAAACAACGCAGAAGAGAAGATAAATAGAAGAAAAAATGGACAAACACAGGTAATTTTATGTAGGTAACTGAATGAATATAGTCTTAATACACTGAAGTAAAAGTTGTGCTAAATATTGTGTGTAATAACACTTGTTCCAGAGATGCAAAATTTTGTTCCACCATTTCAATGTTTCTGTCATGTCATAGTGCATCTGGGGTGGACAGAAACAAATTAAGTGTAGCTGGAATCTTGTCTGGTCGCTTAAAGTTAGGGCATGGTGTAATTTCTCATTTTAATAATAGTTTTAAAAGATATCTGTGTGGTATTTAGTGATTCATTTTGTTTTTAATTTAAATGAACTAATTTAGTAATGTTTGTATGTAACTGGACTTTTAAAGTTTGATCTAAAACTGTTTCTTCTCATTTAAATAACATTAGTGACAACATTAGAAAAACATACAGTTGAAGTCAGAATTATTATCCCCCCTCAAATTTTTTCTTCCTTTTTAAATATTTAGCAAATTATGTTTATTAGAGCAAGTAAATTTTCACAGTATGTCTGATATTTTTTCTTCTGAAGAAAGTCTTAATTGTTTTTATTTTGGCTAGAATAAAATCAGTTATTAATTATTTAAACATCATTTTAAGGTCAAATTATTAGCCCCTTTAAGGTTTATTTTTTCAGATAGTCTACACAGAACAAACCATCGTTATACAATAACTTGCCTAATTACTCTAACCTGCCTTGTTACCATAATAAACCAAGTTAAGCCTTTAAATGTCACTTTAAGCTGTATAGAAGTGTCTTTAAAAAATAAATAGTCAAATATTATTTTCTGTCATCATGAAAAAGATGCAATAAATCAGTTTTTAGAAATGAATTATTAAAACTAGACAGTCTCTCTTCCGCTTAGACTGCAGTCTCTTCATTTGAGCATTTGTTTGTATTTATTTGAATGTTTATTTGCAATTTAAATAAACCTTTTCTGTGAATTATTTACTTTTATGAATTCTTTTTTACATGAAAAATGTTTCAAATAAAATATTATGAAGAAAAATATACATCTATAGTCAAAATTAAGTTATCCATGCATTAACTAAACCCGCCAGTAGGTAGCGGTAATGCCCTGTCTTAAGTGAATAAGACAGTTATTCAGTAACTAAGCAACGGTTGTATTTATGAACAGGTCAATGAATCGACTCTGACAATTAATTTCAACCACAGATTTATTCACCAAACTAACCCACTCTAGCCTAAATAACCACTGGATAGATGTAAGCGCTACCAGGTTGGAAGAATGATTAATATTCTTGAGATTGAAGATTTTTGTTGACATTAATTGCAGTGGATTTTATAGAGTTACAAGAAAAGATAGAAAATGGTTTTAACTGCGAACTGTACTGATTTTATGTGTGAACATGCTACATGCTGACACAGCGCTGATCATAAGTAACCAACTCTTCCAGAATCATCAGTCATTTAAAAGGTGAATCCCAACAAACACACAACGTTGCCTCAACGTAGCGACCTCCTTACAACGTTGTACTAACCTTGCAAAAAGGTTTAGGATTCTACGTTGTGGCTAAAGGTTGTCACAACGATGTCAGATGCACTGAACATTCTTATATTAAGCAATGTGTTCCCTTTATTATGAAGTCAAAATCATTTCACAGGTAAAAACTGACTCAAATAATCAAATTAATAATGCAACGAGAAAAAGGATGATGAGAAAAGGATAAACGTTGATTCTTGTTTGAGATTTATTGGAAGACAGAAACAACATGCTAATTCATGCTAGAATCATGCTAACAACATGCTAATTCGGGCTAGAATCATGCTAATTCAAGCTAAAATCATGCTAGTAACATGCTAATTTATGCCAGAATCATGCTAACATGCTAATTCATGCCAGAATGATGCTAACAAAATGCTAATTCATGCTAGAAACATGCTAACAACATGCTAATTCATGCTAAAACATGCTAACAACCTGCTAATTCATGCTGGTCTGGCTTGTTTTAGTTGTTACTTATATACTTTTATAACTATAAGTATATAGTTGTTACTTATAGTTGAAACTATCATGTCTTTGGAAAGAAACCCATGCCAACATAAGAAGAACATACAAACTCCACACAGAAATGCCAACTGGCCCAACCGGAACTCGAACCAGCCAACCTCTTGCTGTGAGGTGACAGTGCGAACCACTGAGCCACCGTGCCACCTGGAGGTCATATCTTCTTCAATGTTACAAAGTTGAGGTGTAATGCTACACAAGAATGATGCTTTGGTTGGGTATGGCTACTTTGGCTCTCAGTTTTGTGTCATGATTTGATTTGATTCGGATTCACAAGTTCTAATTTGTATTCTTGATTGAATTCTTCAGTGTGTTAACATGAAAATATATAAAGCGAGAAGTTTGTAAGTTCCACACGCTGTTGTTGAAAGAACAATGTATTTGTTCAGTGGAACAGTGATGTTCAGTAGTATTGCTGCTTATTAAACTGAAATACACATTCATAAATATGTTAGAATTTTTTTTTTTTATTATTAAAATCAGCTCCATTATTGGTCCTGTTTTAAAGTACACGGCTCTTCTTGAGTCTATACTTAGAGCTTGGAAAAATATCCATTGTAGCCACAAAGGCTCTTTAGATCCAAATTCGTCTGTTGTAGTGACCTCAATCAGCTCCCAATAGATTAAAACAAATTCCACCTTGTTTATTTTTTCAAAAGCCATCTCACTTACAAATACACCAAATTAACACTAAATAGTTCTAAAAATATACTTTTTAAGCTGTTTGGACAGACATGTGTGCAAGTATAGTGTATAGACCATCATATTCGGGTGATATAAACACACACAGTCCTTTTTTTTCAATTAAACAACAAAAAACG